GTAAGCAAATTGAAGGTAGTTTGGCGAGCAACCTCGTTAGTAGAAACACCCCCCCTGCAACTGTAGTTTCTCTAGACTACGGGAGTCAGCTGCGTCCGATGGGCGTCATTTTTCCTTGTCTCTGCATGCCAAAGGACGCGGGCTGGTCATGGGGTCTTGGCGCTCCTGGCGAAGGGAGTTCGGGGCCGGACTCACCGGACGAAATGGTAATAAATACCGTATCGTTGTTAAGTTGAAACCTTTCTCATTAGGAGCTTTTATTTCTGGATAATCTATACCCGTGTGTGTGTGTGTGTGTGTGTGTGTGTGTGTGTGTGTGTGTGTGTGTGTGTGTGTGTGTGTGTGTGTGTGTGTGTGTGTGTGTGTGTGTGTGTGTTCGCGTGCGCGTGCGCGAATGTGTGTACGTGGGGTAGTAAAATCGCACTTTTCACAAAAAAAAACAGTATAATTTTTATAACAAAAAAGTGTATCGAGTAAAATTCCTTTCTGTCATCCCTTACATTACCTGTTTTCTCAAATGACCTCTTGATACGGCGTTATTTATATTGCTCCTTTCAGTATCAGTAGTTTCCTTATTACATTTTTTTTTTACTTGCAATATAACTTTTATTCATTCTTCTTACACCTAAACCGCATACCTCAAAAAAGTGGTCTTTACTCATCTTCAGATCTGTATGTGACATTTAAACACAGAAAACTAATTCTCTCTCTCTCTCTCTCTCTCTCTCTCTCTCTCTCTCTCTCTCTCTCTCTCTCTCTCTCTCTCTCTCTCTCTCCCTCCCTCCCTCCCTCCCTCCCTCCCTCTCCCTCTTCCCCTCCCTCTCCTCCAATTCTCCCTTTCCCTCTCCTTCTCCCTCACTTCCCCCTCCTCCTTCCCTCCCCCTCTTCTTTCCCATCCTTTCCCCTGTTTGACTATGTGACTAAAACTATTACAGAACAAAATAAATGTTTGGTAGAATAAGAGAAAGTAGAAATAAAGGATTTTATCCCATCCACGTCAGGAATGCCAGATTCGGAAGATAAAAAAGAGGTTCACACAGCCACAATATCTCAAGGGATCCTGAAATACAACCAAGTGATTTGGACGGAATCGCGTGTATTCGTGTATTTTGGGGTTTCTGCTGTTAAGACGGAAAGGGGAAATGTTTATTTTTAATGCAGCGTGTGATGAGTTAGTATTTTTATTATCGTTTCTTATTTGGGAGATGGTTAGGTTCGTTGTGGAGGGAGCATTGGAAGTGCTTGAAATAAATAATTGAATAATGTAGGTATCATTTCATTTGGTATTCTCGGGTGTTTTCAAGATAACCAGTCAGGGTTCATTCCTGAGAAATCGTGATGAAAAAAAAGAAACCAAATGGAAGTGGTTTTTATTTCCTTCAGTGAGAACTGGAGATTTTTTTCTTAAAGTAAAATGGTAAAAGTTGAAAATAATGAAGTTTAGGAAAAATAATTAAAGGACTGACATAATCTTTGAGGAAAGAAACAGAAGTATTTTGGAATAATGACAGGAGAAAATAAAAAATAAATAAAAACTGTTACGAAAAGAGAGATAAATAAGAGCGCTGTGAACTGAAGTGAAGAAAGTTCATTGAGACAAAAAAGGAATAGAGAAAGTGATAGTGCGAAATTGGAAAGAAAGTTACCATAGCGATATAAATAGACCAAATATCACAGGTTAAGAGAAGAAAACAGAATAAAACAAATATCCTAAACCTAAAAAAGGTGGATGAAAAATACAGAAGAAAACTAAGTGACGGATTTAAACCGCGATAAAGGAGAAAGGCCAGTGACGGATAATAAAGTTGGGATAGGTAGAGAAGACTAAGGCATACAGGAGAGGAGAAATGGGGAGAGCAAGGAGGAAGAAGAGGAGGAAAAAAAGGAGGAAGAAGAAGAAGAAGAAGAAGAAGAACAAGAAAAGGAGGAGGAGGAGGAGGAGGAGGAGGAGGAGGAGGAGGAGGAGGAGGAGGAGGAGGAGGAGGAGGAGGAGGAGGAGGAGGAGGAGGAGGAGGAGGAGGCGGCCAGGACAACACGTGGCTCCCAGCAAACCAATCGTAGCGGGCACCGAGGCCTGAACTCCACCCCTTTGTCAGGAAAGCTTCCGCCGTTGACCGACACCCGCGTTCATCACAACTACACGGAGCTGGGAGTTCGGGCGCTCGTTTTTTTACCTTTTATTCAGTATCACGCTTCTGCAAAATCATTATTGACATTTAGGAGTCAATGTTGAGGTCAAGGGTATTCAGATCAAGAATATATAAGGAACTTGCTTGAATACTTATTTCGTAACAGTTACCCCTTTGGGTCCACTGCGGTGACAGGGCTGACTGACGTACGATACATTTTTTCTTGGATTAGAGACCGTTTTTTAGGCTCTACAACTTTAAGTTAGGTAATTGTATAACACGTTTAACATGTGTTATACTCACAGACAGTATATAATTTCTGTCTATAACTAACATTTTCATAAAGCAAATAAACGAAAGAGGCCGAGGGTTACCAACTCTAGAATAAAAAAAAATTGAAGCAACTGTGTCGGTTCTCACGTTACGTCGGAAGATATAGTAGGTCGCATTTGTAGATGTGGCTTACGCCTACCTTGCTCTTAAGCCCATATTATCTAGAGGCTTGTAGTCGCCGATGTCTGGAAATAAATGGGTGAAATATATGTGTTTTCCCTCTCGTTTGATTTAAGAAAATTTGTGTTGCGTTGAGTGATATCCTACGACGGTCTAGCTTGACTCATGGCTCAGGAATCAGGCTGTGAATATGAAACAGTTATGCCTTCATATCATTTGCTTTTCAGTCGATCAGGTATTCGAGATATTTACGTTTTTTTTTATATTTAATATATATCAAGTATCGCTTGTTTGGTTTTATCATATATTGTACCTTTCAATACATTTATCACCAACTTTGAATAACAGTCAAGCTCCATTATTAAGATATGTGTGTCTGTGCGTGCGGGTGTCCCTGGATGGAGAGTGTCTGGGCAGGTAGGTGGTGTCCGTGGAGGGGCGGGGAGGGCAGGGCAGGGGGGGCGGGACGACGGGAGGAGGCTGGAGGGTTCGGGTCCCAACCCCACACTCACTACCTGACAACGGGCCGAGGTGTGCGCACGCTGGTTTTTGCTGTGCGCGTTGTGGCAGTTCTTCCCCGAGTGCCTTCACGACCCTTCGCGGCTCCTGGACTCTCGTAGCCTGAGTGTGACTTCGTGTGTGCATTGAGACAATGGTGACCTCGTGTGAGGTAGATTTGCAACAGCAGCGGCATCACCAGGACTACCTGGCCGCTACAGAAGCCGCGGCCAAGGAACACGCAGTCCTGGGCATGATCCTCCCGGAGTGTGAGTGTTGACCCTTCGTCAGTAGTGTGTCGGGCGGGGTGGGTCAGCGAGTGATTGCTTACTGCTCCTGCTACTGCGCAATTGTAGCAGCATCTCCTAGGCCGGTGTCAAGAGCACCAACAGGAGACGTGTCGCTGATCCAGTTTCTGATCTTTTCCTCGATTCTGTATTTTCCGTTCAAATCACATGTCTTCCAGTGTCTGATGTATTGTGTAAAGTGTCAGAAAAGTATCAGTATCGATACTAATCGCGGTGATTCGTAGTGTTAGGGAAATATCTTGATAATCATTTAAAAAAAAAAAAAAAAAACGTTCCCAAGGTTGATGTATGCAGATGACAATTACTGCATTCACACGATGATTAGCTAAAGGGCCCAGAGACAAGTATTAATGCACTAGTCGTGTATTAATCGATCCCTGTCTTCAAATCTTCCTGTGCAAAGAGGCAGCGCTCGTGGAGACTTCAACGCATCATCTGGGGCGTGGTGGTGGTGCTGGTGGCTTGAGTATTGTTAGTGTAGGTGTAAGAATTGGTTGTGATGTCGGTGTTAATCCTCCTGCTCTCTTAATAGAACTCGTAGCAAGGTTTGCAGTGTCCTGTTGTCTGCTCTGGGTTTCCTTTTTTTTTCCCTTAGTTGCTTTATGAATTAAGTGTTGATTTAGTAATGATCAGGTGTTGATTCAATTTTCTTGTAATCTTGGTAAAATTGGTTTGCGATTTCTATATTGCTTGATGACATTAAATACAAGTTTTTGTTAATTTATTTATCACATATAGTTATCTTCTCGGTCATTAAGTTAGTGTTGTTGAAATAACTAGTAACCGATGACTCGCCAAAGTTTACTGAAATGTGAAGGATATTGTTAGAGTGACTCGAAGATCTGTTTATTTAATTTGGTGATGAAGATTCTAATAGTGCTGATTTTTACTCTCTCTCTCTCTCTCTCTCTCTCTCTCTCTCTCTCTCTCTCTCTCTCTCTCTCTCTCTCTCTCTCTCTCTCTCTCTCTCTCCCTCTCTCCTCCTCCCTCCCTCTCTCTCTTCTCTTCTCTCTCCCTCTCCCTCTCCCTCTCCCTCTCTCTCTCTCTCTCTCTCTCTCTCTCTCTCTCTCTCTCTCTCTCTCTCTCTCTCTCTCTCTCTCTCTCTCTCTCTCTCTCTCTCTTGCCATGTCTTGTCTGATCCCCTTGTCAGGAGCATTCGTAGCACTGTGTCAATAATTCATCGTGATCGCAGCCAACATCAGCTTTCATTAGAGTTGTAATTAGCGTCACCACAGGCATCCCGTCAGAGGCGGGACTGTGATTTTCACCCTTAATAGCAGTACACTTTTTGGTACTTTTTATTTTTGGTTGTGCTATACACAGGTTACGTTTCATGATTAAGATTACCTTTACCATCCTTCGCTGTGCATTCACCACCACGCAAAAAAATAGAAAAAAGTGTATGCGTATACATACTTTCTTCGACTTCTGTATTTTGATGTTTTAGTACCAACTAATGGGAATAACTTACAGGGATTATGATAGCCACTTTGTATTTGTATATTTATTTTTATTTCTTTATGATCTTATGTATTTTACAACCTTTTCTCTCCCTTTTTCTTTTTCATCCTTCTCCCCTTGTCCCTCTCTCACTTGCCTTTTCTTGCTCTAT